CATTTGTCTAAATCATTGCACACATTTTTCTTTTCCATCATTTCTTTGTCTTTAGAAATAAAAATAGCTAAATATTTAACTTATTTATTTATTTTAATATTATATAATGACTGTAAACAATATCCTGAAGCTTTAAATTTAGAAAAGCATTAGAAAACAGTTTAATGGCATGTAAAGCCAGAGGAATTTGTTGATCATTTTTAAAAAATAAAGTTGTATCATCTGCAAACTGACTTATAATAATTTTTTCATCTAACAAAGATAAACCTTCAATTTCATTATTTTTAATCAATAGAGATAATAATTCAACAGCCATTATAAACAATAATGGAGAGCTACCACACCCTTGTCGAATCCCCCTGTTAATTAGAAATCGTGTACAAGTTCCATTTCCAAGAGTGACAGAGCTATTAATTCCACTTTATAGTGTTTCAATTAAACTTACAAACTTTAAGCCAAATCTAAATATTTGAAGCTTCTCAAAATAAATGGATGCTCCACAGCATGAAATACCTAATAAAAATCTAAGAAAACCAAAATCCCAAGTTCTTGAACATGATAAATATAATAAATTAAATCTAGAACCATTCTAACATTGTTATCGATTGCTTTTTCTTTAAAAAAACCCCAACTGTGTCTCACTAATTATGGATGAAATACCTTTTTTATAGCTGCAATAGCTCCTGAATTTTTTTTATAATCTGTGTTTAGTAAAGTGATAGGCTTTAGATTATCTAAAACTCTTATATCTTTACCCGCTTTAGGGATTAAAGTTATTAGGCCTTGCTTCATACTTTCCTTCAGCTCTTTTTAAAAAATGCAATCTTTTAAGGCATTAAATAATAATTTCCGAAGATCCTCCCAGAAAAATTTGCAAAAATTAGCCATCTGTGCCTGGAGATTTATTTAAAGATTATTTTGGGCTACTAAATCCAATTCCTCAATTGTAAGATCAGAATCACATAATATCTTAAATGACTGCTTAATATTAGGAATCATCTTTTGTATTTTTGCAAAGAAAATGTCTACTTTCTCTGAAGAAAAGTCTAAAGAATATAATTTAAAATAAAACATGAACATGAACATTTTCTTTGGATCTTTACATTCTCATTTTTAATCATTACACTATTAATTGAATTTTTTTGTTGTCTATTCTTTTCTAAATTACTAAAATATGATGAGTTCTTTTTCCCAGAGATGGTTTGTGGCTAGAAGGGCATCTGCTGCATAAAAACGTGCTGGATAAGTTGGCGGTTCATTCTGCTGTGGCGACCCCGGATAAAATAAAGGGACTAAACTGACTAGAAAATGAATGAATGATTGATGAGTTCTTTTCACCTTCCTCAATCCACCTGGCCCGAGATCTAACATGGGCACCTTTTGCTCTTTCCAAATAGAGATGATCCAATTTGTTTTGAGGCTCCATCACTTTGTTTTTTTCATCAATCTCTAATACTGGTTTACTACAGTACACAGAAAATTCATCTAAGTTAAATTCTCGGTGTTGAAGCATTTCAGAGTAAAGTGTTGACGTTAAAGAGTTAGATTTTGATAAATGAATATAATAAGAGTTAGAATTGATTTTATTCAGTGCGAAATCAAGGAGTTATCTTTTCAACACTTGGTGGTGTTATTTCCAACATCCGGGAATTCATGCAGCCCCAGTTACTGAAGAATTTTCCAGACGCCATTTTCCATCTGAGGTTTAGAACAGCAACTGGTGAGTCAAACTACCTAAATGTTGGTATTTTACTGACTTTCTTTAAGGAAATACAGTTGTAAACATATTGTTAAGTTAATAACTTTAGAATGGAGTGACAATTTTAATCTTCTGCGGTTCATTCATGGTCGTTTGTGTATCTAGCTTAACTGCATTACTATTCACTTCTTTTCAAGAATGTTTTTATATATGCTCACGCATACATAGTGCATAAAAACATCAAATGTACATGTTCAACACATTTCTGTCACGCTTAATGCCATTTTGTGCGTTGTTACCCATCTGTAAAATAAAATCGACACTTCTCCTTTAATTCGAAGCAAACTAGCGAGGTAATCTTCGGAGCAGCCTAGCCTACTCTGCCCGGATGCTAACGGCAACACAGGACGGTTTCCATGAGCTCTGGAGAGTTTCTAAAACATATCTGGTGAGTAAATGAACATATACTTACTAAAAGGCTTCCTGACTAAAACATATGATTGTTTGTTATTCGTGTACGTTAATTTGGTTATTTTAAACACCGCGGCCCTTTTAAACTGGTTCATTCGTGGCCGTCCATAACGTTATACCGTTAGTTCATAGACTCGCGTGATAACGTACGCTTGAATTATATTAAGTGTTGACAACCATTAAAGTCGGAATGTTACCATTAATGTCTTTAAATGACCGCGTTTGCACTTTCTCAGACATTTAAGGTTACAGAAGTCTCCCGGAAGTTGCGGGACTAACGTTAACGTTATCCCGCAAATGCACAGAGACTCCCAGATGCCCAAGTAGATGCCCGCAAATGAATGAATGATAATCTCCCGGAAATCGCGCGTCTCCCGCCCGGTCATCAAACACTTTGCACACCCCTCTCCACCGCATCCCTCCCAGCTCTTCAGGTACGTCGCGCGCAAGTCACCTCCACCGCTCTTTAGGTACGTCGCGTGCAACTCATCCCATTGCTCTTCAGGTTTTCATCTCTCCCGCTACCTCCCGCAAATCAACTCTGTATCCCCCGAAAATTACTTTTCCCAACTCGGGATGTCTGACGTTAGTAAGTTAGGCTATTTATGTAGTCAGGAACATCTTAGTCAAGCTTTTTCTTCCGCATGATATTGTGTTTAAAACTATAGGCTAAATTTAGCATGTACTGTACACAACATTTCCTTTTTATTAAAGACAATTTAGTGCGTTGTAAACAGCCTCCTGTCTGTAAAATTAATCAACTGATTCATATTTGAGCAGCCTAATGATGATACAGGTTTGATTTGTAGATTTATTATCAATAATCAACATCTGAATCAAAAGATATCTGAAAAAGTGTGAGGCATACTTTGTGATGTTCATCTCTCCTTTTTATCTGAAGGTTATGCATATGTGTTAGATACTAATTTTTTGTTGTTTTTTTAACTGCCACAGTTCTCTATACAATAACACAAGACCCTGTGACGGTGGCTGATTAGAGACGGATGGTGTATTTCCAGAGTTGGTGAAATGACCAAGCACACCTTCTTGGTCATATGTGGTGATAATAATGAAGGTATGTTTGATAAAGTTCTGTATTTGTTTCACAATAAGCTGAGAGGGTATTAGAGCATTAGAAAATAACAAATGACATGAAGGTGATAAGTTTTGTATTGTGGGTGAACTGTTACTTAAATAATGTTTTGCTCTTTACTTTGCACTTTTCCTCTTCTGCTTATCCTAATATTTTAGATTATATTTGGACCTGAAACATCTGCTAGACTCCAGTAAAGGCGGCGTCAATACTGGACCTGAAAGGGCCTAACAAGTTGAATCAGGTAAAGAAACATGCACGCGCGCACACACGCACGCACGCACACGCTTACAGAAAACTGTTGTTTATGAAGTTTATGAATATTTTTTACACTGTGGCCAATATTTTGGGGAAGTCAGCATCACTAAATGATATAAAAGATTTTAAGATCCTCTAAATTTTGCTCCAAGTGTTGTGTTAAATTCAGGATTCTGGACAGACAGCTGCCTGTTTTTCCAGTTCTAGTCATAGTGATTAACCTAATTGTTTTTGGAGATTCCAACAGTGATATATGTGTTTTTTCTACTTTTCCATATCCTGTCACCTCAACCAGCTGGGAGAGTCAAGTTGTGGATCATCATGAAGATTTTCAAAAGGTGAGTTTAGATTTCTTGAATGTTTTATTTACTTTAAATGTTCTTTTAAATATATCATAGAATTTGATTGCAATTTGTTTTCAAACATTTTTCTTAGTCATGCTGGAGTCTTGAAGAGTTCTTAGATGAGCATCACCCTATATCCGTGCATCAGGAACCACCAGACGAGCGATCAGCAGCTACTACTGTACATCGTCATGGATAAAAAAGTCATCCTGTGGCTGGGAAGCACTTCATTCACAGGACATGCTTGATGAGATTTCCTAGCTCCAGTTTGTTTTCACACAAGTTTAAAGCATTTATACCTTCATTTAAACTGCTGTGTTTGATATGGAGGACCAAGGAAACACAAGAAGTGAAAGATTTGCACGCCAAGTTGTTTAAAATGCAATTTCACAAGAAAACTATGAGTTCAGGAGTAAACTATGAGTGATGCTATATTGAGCTTTCAAGTTGCTCTGATAACACATCAAGTTTGGACCAAAGGACTGAAACAGCCTTTTTGAGCACTGGTCATACATATTTTGTTGATACTGTCTGTACTAATAAAACATTTAAAGCATATTTGACATTGTTGCATTTTAAAAACGGAATGAATTGTTGAAGTGGTGAATGTTTTCAAATAAAAAGTTTTTTCTTTTGTAATTTACAGTCTATTTTACCTTTTTACCATATTTACACTCAAGAGAGTTGAATAAAATAACAATATATTACACCAGGCGGTGTTAAATATATTTACATTTTTTAACTCTGCCCAGAGTTAAAATTAACCCTTACTTCGGTGTCAATGTGCCAACCCTTTTGAAAGTGTTGATTTAACTCTGTTTTGAGTGGACCCCATGAGACACTTTCAAAGTGTTGAAATTAACACCCATAGAGTTGTTTTGGGTCCCCATATTTTGCTGTGTACCTATTTATTTCTCTAATTAAATCATGTTCATACCTTGTCTTTTCTTAGTTTATTTTTTAAAAGAAATAAATAGAAAAATTTCTAATTTAGAATTTTAGAAACTCCCATTTTCTAATATTAAAATCTAAAGCATCATTCAACTCAATCTCCCGTAAAATTCTTCGTTTTGCAAAAGAGCTGCGTTAAATTTCCAGTATCCTTTGTGTCTATAATGTTTATGTGGGGCACAGCAAATTGTGAGGTGTTGAATTTCTGGTGTAAGCTCATGTAGTGTTTTAGTGTTAAAATCTAAGTGTACATATACTGTTTTTAACGCTGATGTGGGTTAAATTGTGACTTTAACAGTGTGTATTATTGGTGTTGCCTTTCCATACTCCTCATCGGTGTTAATTGCACATACGGGAACTTGAGGTGACTGAGTCAATACGGTCCGCATTTGACGATAAACTTTTCATTAATGGCTGCTCCTGCTGGACAGATTCCTGCCGGAAACTTGACATAAAAGCAATCGAAAGACACGCAAGTCGGAATTTTTACATTTTAGAATTAAGAAGCCGGTTTAGCAACTTTAAAATCCGGGATTGTGGGACTATACCCGTGAATCATTACAGCATCAGCCACACAAAGCCATAGGTGTTGAGGTACGTCATTTTCCTCATTTAATAGCACAAACTTCAGTTTTTTTTATTTGTAATGTTATATATACGCCTGGGCTACTTGTTAATTGCACAAATTGTCCTAAATACTTTTGTAAAACCTTAATGTCACGAATCATTTTAAATGATTTTTGGCGCGGGATTCTACACCACTTCAGTGTATATTTTACATACAGGACCCCCTCGTGAGTCATCAACACGGAGCGGAGCGATGGCAGCAGCAAGTTTTCCGCTCATTTAATGCCAAAACAGGTGAGTTGTTTTGTACGTGTTATCGAAATTATAACGTAGTAATTTTATTTGAACAAAGAGTATTGCAGAGTGTAACGTTACGCTTTCTGCCTTTAACGTTACTGCGAATGCCTCATAAAATGTCACTCATAAATTTAGTTTTAGACAGCTTTCCTATCTTTACACATGCTTAAAATCTAAATTTTTACCGTCTGTTTATTCGTTTGTGCGTAAATGGTATGGGTATGTTGTTGAAACTTATTTTAAATGTGATTGAATCAACCAATGCAATCCAATTTATTATTTAACGTCGCAAATTATGTGCTATTGAGCATTTTACACATGGTACACGATGTCTGTAAGTGATTCTGATTGGGAATGTGGAGAATGAATTCGTATCCTTACATGTATACCGTTAACAGCATTTCTTTTACGTTTGCCGTCAGCTAGTGCGTATAATTTTGAAAGATTTTAAGGCGGGTTAATGTACACTGATTTAGTGTTCCTTTTTTCAAACGGAGACTCGACGCCTTGCGTGTCACGCTGGAAAAATAACGAACTATGCATGAAGCAAGTAGAATCAAAAGTAAGTTTTTCCTTTCCATTTTTGCTTGAAAACAAAATCATTAGCTTAACTTTAAGTTATACCGTTTTACATTAAGGATAGCAATTTAGTGTATGACGTCTGCTGCTGTGGTAAATGTTTTATTAATACTGCAAATGTTACTGATAATATATTCTAATATTCGTTTTATCATCTTTCTCCTGGAAAAGTCTTACTATTTACTAATATTATTTTTCATCGACGTTTGAAGGAAAATTGTACTAACCAGTCAATGTTTTTTTATATTTCGAGTTAAAATCCTGCACTAAGACCGGTTTTGTGCAAAGATTTGAATCTAATGTTTTTTGTGACTTGTCCAACTATTGCAAGAATCCACAGAATGTTAAACTCTCCATATTGTGCAAAGTTGGATGTCTACTTTTACATGTCGTTAAAGAAATGTGGTAAACCAGACTTAGAATTTTGAAGAACATTGATATTTATTTATGTAAATGTTTTTCTTTTTTTGTTTGTTAGTGTTTATTACCCAAACTCTATTATAATCATATCTTTTATTTCTAACCAGATGATCAACAGAATGCTGTTTAAAGTACAGTATCAAGCTCGTAAGAGATACATGAAGCTTCCAGTATTGGAATATGATGCCCTTATACGGGAAGGTAAGTTTTCATACAATTTTTTTTGATACCTGGCATTTTTTTTGTTTTTTGGCTAATGTCTCTATATATTAGTTTAGCCTAAAACATGTTTAGAAACAGATATTATGAAACAACTGATGGAAAATTGTAATTTATTTAAATATTTGTTTTTCTATTCACCTAATTATATTATTTATTTTATGCCATTTTGTGTAGTCAAGGAGAAATTTGGTATATCTCCAGATCATACCATTTATTTGGCAGACGAGACCGGAACTGAAGTGGATGAAGATGTTTTTGCTGATATTATGGAACAAAAGCCTGACACACTTTGGACAATTGTTGATTCTATGGCTACAGAAGGTTTGCAAGGCTGCAAATGCAAATATGTGTGTTTTAAATAGTTATGTATTTGTAACATTTCATTTTCTTGTTAGATTCTACTGCCCCACCACCCTCTCAATTTTCAAGTGAAATGAAAACGGTGTCACCAACAGACAGCTGTGTTTCTGTTCTCTCAACAAAAAGACCTCGAACTGACGACCAATTTACTGAGGCCAAGGAGGTAGATTACATGATTAAAACCTATATAAATGTTGCCTTATGACATGATTTGATCAATTTATCTTTGTTTTTAAGCTTGTAAAAGATGTATTGGGGAAAAAAAGTGCAGGGGAGAAGATTTTTCAGGAGTACAGAGCAACTGGGAAAATCACAGATTCTACAAGGCGAATTCTTGTGAATGCTGTAGTTGGAGACATGATTGAAAAACATGGGTAAAGTATATAAATATAAGCTGTTTTTACAATGCATTGTCATCCCAATTAAAGGGATAGTTCACCCAAAACTGAAAATTTTGTCATCATTTACTCACCATTTACTTGTTTTTTTTCTTTCTGCTGAACACAAAAGAAGATATTTGAATAATGTTGTAAACATGTAACCATTTTCCCACTGATGGGTTGCAGCTAGAAGGGCATCCGCTGCGTAAAACATATGCTGGATAATTTGGTGGTTCATTCCGCTGTGGCGACACCAGATTAATAAAGGGGCTAAGCCGAAAAGAAAATGAATGAATGAACATGTAACCATTGATTGTGCTAAGGAAATCAATGGTTACAGAGTTCTAAAAGAATTTATTAAAACCACTAATTTGTGTTCACTAGAAAAAATAAACTCAATGGTTTCAAAGAACTTGAGGATGAGTAAATAGAGGAAATCTAAATTTTGGGGGACCCATCCCTTTTTAACAGACTTGAACATTCAAATCAAAATCTTTGAACTGTCTAGAAACTTGAGTCCAATTTTGCATATTAAATGGACATTTAAACTAAAACTGAAAATTTACTTGCTATTTGCTCACCCTTAAATAGTTTCAGACCCTTATGGCTTTCTTTATTCAGTTGAACACAAAATAAGATATTTTGAAGAAAGCTGAAAACTTGTAACCATTGACTTTGTTAGTAGCAAATGCAAATACTATGGAAGTGAATGGTTACAGGTTTTCAACTTTCTTCAAATTATCTTTTTGTGTTCATAAAAAAAGTCTAGCAGGTTCGATAGAAGTAAAGTCTGGGTAAATGATTGTTAATATGTGGGGTATAAATGAAAATCGGTTGTACAAAGTGTGTTACCTTGTGCAGCAAAACTGTTGCATCACTTCACTACCTCATCATGGGATAGTAAAGTGTGCATATGTGCATTTCAGAATCTTTGTGACGGTAATTTATCTAAATACTTCTCACTCAGTGTCCTATTAATACTTTGTTTTTGGAAATGGTACTCTGCTTACATACTGTTTCATATGGTAGTATGTGTACTATGTGAGTTTGTACACAGCATAAGTCTGTATTGCTTGTTAAAGATTAAACTCTGCAGAAGCAGCACCCATGTTCTAGTTATTTGTTTTAATAAAGTACACAGTTGAATACATATTACACACTATAATTTTATTTATCTTCGTAGGAACATTCCACCAAAAGAAATACGAATTAAATATGCTGTTGGAATAGTGACTCTGTTCCCCTCTCTCAAAGATCCCTACTCCAAAAGAGGCTATGTGAGTTGTTGTTTATTTTCCCTAAAAAAATAAATAGTGTCTTTTTAATTTAACTAAAACATCTTGTTTTTTTATTGCAGGAACATTTTTATGATCCAGAAGGTAACTCTGGATACATAGCCTGGAGACTGAAAACGGTTCAGCGCAACAGTCAAGTCAGTAGGACCAGCATTCCACAAGGCATCTCTGAGAGGAGGGGCCCTATCACTAAAAGAGCGTTTTTGACAACGGAGATACAGCTAGAGGGAGATAGCTGCCAGGAAGCCATTTCATTTCTAAAACACTGTTCTGATCTGGAGCAAGTGGCTGCAAAGATGAAATCTACTTTCCAGTATCGCCAGGAACTGATCCGCAATCCTGAAAAGTCGTCATCTGTTTTCAATATATTCCCTAGGTTTCTTGACACAAAAGGCCTGGTATGTGCTGCACCAACTGATGGTGGTTTAAAATGGATTTTAATCTGCTGATGTGACATGACATTTCTGTTTTAATCTATATAAAACATTAGGTGCTTCAAGACTTTGAGTTGCTGTTTGGAGTAGAGACTTCAGCAAAGCTTCTGGAGAAGTGGGGATCTTTTCTTAAACACAAAGTAATTGGAGAAGCCAAAAACCTGACCCAGTCATTTCATCTGAGTCGTCTGATCGAGTCTGCAGAGCAATGTGAAAGCAGTCAAGAAGTTACAGGTAGTTATTTATGTATCGCAATAATTGTGTGTTTCTTTTATGGCTTTTAGGCTTTATTATAAGTAATTTTAAGTCATACACATAGATTATCTTGATTTAATTCATGTAGATTGAAACAATTATGGGCCATGGTGTTTTCTGAAAGGATGTGATTAATCATATGCATTTGTTTTAAAAATAATGGGCCATGATGTTTTCCTTTTCTTGACTTTTAGAGTGGGACAGTGACATGTCTTCACTGTTGTTGCTTCTCTATCTCCTTCCACCACCTTCAAGTGGAAAGAAGAATATTGTAAAGATCAGTGTCCAAGAAGCATTAAACCACATAGTAAGGTTCCACAAGGTATGCTTTGTGTTTGGGTCGAACTAATTAGTGTTCCAAATGTTCTAAGATGCAAGTTAACAATGGATATTAACTTAAATAGTGGTAAATGATTGCAAAAAATAAAATAATTTAATAAACTAGGCACATTTTGCAATGACTAGTGCTGCACTGACCATGAATTTTCATGAACCATATGATTTGCGTTGTTTTTTTTTCTTTTTTTTAAATAGCATAAAATAGTCTTGCATAACAATAATGTTGTTTATCACAATATATTGTACAACAAAAATTTGAATTTGTGACAGGCCTACTGTACACACTTTGTGGCTGAATTCATACATTTATTTTGCAGACGTGTTTGGAGCAAATTTACGTTTGATCTGTAATTCTTAGATGTACATCATACCCTCTTTTGTAAAATACTGAAATTTTTGTTTTACTTTTTTTTTTTTTTTCAGTCCTGTTGCAGTTTCGATGACGTGCTGAGGGCAGGACAGACAACACAGCCGTACATCTTGGCAGTCGGAACTTTGAAGAATTGCATCCATGACTATTACATCATCGTGGATGGACAACTCATTCCCTGTAAGGCGATGTCCTCTCTGGCTGCTTTTGATGAGCTTTTCAAAGCACATTATGTGTTCGGCATTTCATATGATGCTGCTTTACACAGTATGTACACGTTTCTTCAAACAACGGTTTACAACATTGACGTTGGTGTCACTCATGAAAGCCCTCGAGTCAGGGATCTTCGAGCCAAGATTCTAAATTAGGACACTACTGCAGAGCTTAAAAATGTTTAGGTGCTTTGTTTGCAAGTTGACTTGCAGTACAGTCAATGATCTAATACGCCATCTAAAACTTTCTCATGCTTTTTATCCTGGCAGAAGATTACAGTTGGTATGCAATCAGGATGATTGTTGTCTAAGATTTGTTTCATATTCAGGGTTTAGAAAACATCTTCAACGTAGGCACAACAGTGAGCTCTCTGACATGTCTTTATTTGAATCCTCCCCGGCTCCTTCTGTTGAAAGTGGACCAGCATCTGTAACACAACCTTCCAACTTAGTTTCAGGAAATCCAGGAACATCTATAAACACTGATGAGAGAAAGTTGAGAACCCAAGAAATGTGTGCATCAGTTATTGCAAAATTACAGAGTAGCGGAGTAGCCTCCAACGTAATTACATCAGTGGCTGAAAATATGGAAGAGCTTGTGAGTGAATTGCATTCAAACATCAGAGAGGATATTGTTCAGTTGGTATCTGATGATCACAGGTCAGATGTTGAAGAGTATTTTGACCATCTTGACAACCCATTCTCTAATTTCACAACTGAGACAAAATGGAAAAAGTATTTCTTTGAGAACTGGGGTGTTGTAGAACCTATTGAAATACCCTTAGGAGTGAGATATGACAGTAGGCGCAATAGAACTACAGGCACATATGATCAGGTTCCAATTACTGATAAATTTGTATATGTTCCTTTATTGCAGACTTTGAAATTTATGTTCAAAAATGTAGAAATTCAAAAGCATTTTGTCCAGCCAAGTGAGAATGGAGAAATATTAAGAGAGTTCTGTGATGGTAGCTATTTTAAAGAACATCCTCTTTTTTCCAAAGAACAAAATTCTCTTCAGATACAACTCTTTTATGATGACTTTGAAACTTCGAATCCCCTTGGTTCTAAGCATGGAATCCATAAGATTGGAAGTATTTATTTTGTTTTGAGAAACCTGTCATCAAAGGTAAACTCTGCTTTAATGAATATTCATCTCCTGTCACTTTTTCACACACAAGATGTAAAGCGATATGGCTTTAATGCCATTTTGGATCCAATTGTGCGTGACTTTAAAATTCTTGAGACATCTGGAATTACATTACCGATCTCAGAGGATCCTGTCCATGGAACTATAGCTCAAGTAACTGGAGATAATTTGGGAATGCACACACTTTTTGGATTTGTAGAATCTTTTAACTCAAATTATTTTTGTCGTTTTTGTTTGATTGACAAATGTGCTTCACAGAACATTTTCTCTGATGACCACCCAGACATAATACTGCGTGACAGACTTCTACATGCTCAACATTGTCAAAGCCTCTTTTCAGATGCTGGTCCACAATCATCCTTTGGTGTGAAAAAAACATGTTTGCTGAATGAGCTACAGTATTTTAATATTTCGGACAATTTTGCATTCGATATAATGCATGATATATTAGAAGGTGTAGGACAGTTAGAAATGAAATTGCTTTTTAACCATCTATCACACAGCAGCATTATATCTTCACAATCTGCAAGCAATAGAATTTACTCATTTAACTATGGCTTTGTTGAACGTAAGAACAGACCAACAATGATTAATTTTGAACAAGCTGGGAATGGTTTGGGTCTCAATGCTATTCAGACATTTTGCCTTATTAGAAATCTGCCTTTAATTTTTGGAGATCTGGTTGAAGTTGGAGATAAACACTGGAGTTTGCTACTGCTTTTACTTCAGATAATAAATATTGTGTTTTCTCCAGTCATCTCAGAGGGCATGACAATTTATTTAAAGCATCTGATTTGTGAACACCACACACTGTTTAAAGAACTTTACCCAAGGAATCTCATTCCTAAGCACCACTTCATGACCCATTATTCCAGATGCATCAGGAAGATAGGCCCGCTGGTTCATGTGTGGGGAATGCGTTATGAGGCGAAACATCGCTTTTTCAAAAAAAGTGTGAAGAATTTCAAAAATATTACCAAATCTTTAGCGCTAAAACACCAGATGTGTATTGCATACCACTGGGAATCTCAGCCATTTAAGAATATTGACTGTGGGCCTACAACAAGCGTTCAGCTTTGTGACCTGATTGACTGTGAATTCATTGCAGAAAGACTGCAAATTGACAATGAAAGTAATGTAGATCATCTTTCTTGGATTACTTGTTTTGGAACTGAGTATCGGTCAGGCCTTTTTGTTTGTTCAGATTTAAGAGATGACATTCCTGTGTTCAGTAAAATTACTGATATTATTGCATTTGACAGTCAGTATTTTTTGCTGACATGTGAATTTGAAACTGTATGCTTTGTTGAACATCTTCACTCCTTTAAGGTTAAGGAGGAGCTTTGTAGAAAAGTTTCCCTTTTGAATGTTGAAACCTTGCGTTTTTTTAAGCCATTCGACCTTCAGATAAGTTATGGATTGGAGGAAAATGACTTTTATATAGTTCCTGTACACGTTTTCATATGAACCACTTTAGTTCAGTGATGGTACATTGCTGAGGCTTTCCTGTATGTTTAGATTTGAAAGATGCTATTTCTGTTCTCAGTAAAACGTCTGATATTGTTTGATGGACAGCATTTTTTGCTTGTTTATGAAATTGAAAGTGTGCTTTTGTTGAACATTACTAATTTCAAGGAAATCCCCCTTTTTGAGTGATTTTTGCTGTGGTTTTAATCCATGTATTTTTTTAAACAACTGTATGCAAAAATTACTTTTATATTTTTATAAAGCATTTTGGTTCAGGAATGGGGCTTTAGCTCATGTTGTCTTGTTTATGTTTGGCAGTGACAAGTAAAATATTAAACATTTCCACTGCATTTTTTTCAATGTGACAAATGTTTGTCTAAAAAATGACATTAATGACAAATTAAAGTTTTCAGGTATGAAATGCTTATTCTGTGAAGTGATTTAATGTTGCCTGTGCTGTGAATTTTAAAGAAAATAAATTGTTTTGTAACTTTCTCCATGATTGCTTAATTTATGCGCTAAACACTTATTTTAATAAGGCTGTAACAGAAGAATTTATTTACATTTTGTTATTATTCCAGGGTGTTAAAATTTTCAAATATAAACTTATCTTTATGAGTTTCATGTGTGGAAAATGTTAATTTTTCTCATGTTAGTTCAAAGAAAAATAGAATTTATGCTGAATATGACCTGGCTATGGTGATGGAGTATTTACTATACACTATATCTAGTTTATAGTTTTTACACTCTTAGTGTAAAATTATTTACTCAGCTTAAGTGTATATATTCAACACTTTACAAAGAGTAACTTATACACTGGGCTGGTGGGACTCGTATATACACCAGAAGAGAGTGTAATTTAACACCTGAGGAGTTATATTTACACTGGACATTTTGCCCTGCAGGTGTTAAAAATGTTTAATGTGGTGTGCATTTTTACACTCTAAGTGTAAAATATTTTACACTGCAGAGGTGTACATATTTAACACTTTTCAAAGTGTAATCTGGACACTTGGCTGGTGGGACTCATATAGACACCAGAAAAGTGTTAAATTCAACACCTGTGGTGTAAAATGTACACTGGCAAATTTGCTGTGGGGGTTCTAAAGTTAGATTTATCAGACAATGATCAGTCAATTGAGCTTTAATAATCTTTGATTGAGAAGAATATTGGAGAATATTACCACTTACCATCCAATAATCAATTCTGGACTTAATCTCACTATTAGGCCTACTCCAGGAAAAACATTTGATTTCAGGATTCAAAATTCTCCATACATCATTCAAATTGTTTTCATTTTTTATGATTTTTTAAATCATTAGACTCTGTAATAGAAACTGTAGAAACTGTAATATTTAACTGCTGCCTATTAAATCTGGAAGGCCATCTATCTGCCACTCATCAGGAGCCATGTTCCAATCTCCACCTACTATGACATTCTCAGAATGGAACAACCCTTTTGTTTCTGAAATTAAATTAGATATATCCTCAAATAATTTGCTATTTTGCAATGCACAATTAAATCCATAAACATTAATCAAAATGAAGAAAAGTGTGCCAATTTTCAATATCACCATTATCCAGTGTCCATTTCCATCACCATGGCATTTGTTCAAACATATTGCCACTCCTCCAGAACGATTAGAGCCATGACCAAAAAACATTTTGTCACCCCATTGCTTAGTCCTGAGAGAGGCATCCAAGTCAGTAGAATGAGTCTCTTGCAAAAATATACAACGTGCTTTTTGTCCTTTACAAAATAAAAAAAGCTTTTTTTTAACAATGTCCTTGAAGCCCCTAACATTCAACGAAGCAAAAACTATTTGTCTTTACCAATTAAAATTAACCAAAATAATTAACAAGTTAATATAGAATATAACAATGATTATAGATAACTTCTCTCCTTAAACAGTGACTTTCAAATAAAGCTTTAATGTTCCCAAGAACTATTTCCCATTATTTAACGCACAAGTATCCTCAGTCAACAGCAATCCGGCGACCTTCAATGGAACAGTTTGAGGCCAAAATTTACGTCTTTCCTCCAAATCCTCTCTAGGAAGCATCTCCGCAAACCGGATTGATTCAGCTTTGCAAACTGCCGAATCTTTACTTCTTCGCCAGATTTCCTTCTTCATCCGCCTTTGAGCAAAAAAAACTATGAAATTTCTGTTCCTGTTGTCCATCTTTTTTCAGTCTGTGAACAATATCAACGGCATCCTCCAAGTTTGTTTCCCCATCAGGAGCAATTTTGCAGAGTATTTGGATGACTAATGATTTGATGTTTTCTTCTTTTTTTTTTCTTCTATGCCTTGAATACGCAAGCACCATCTCATTCTGTACCTCTCTTGCTTGCAAATTTTGTCTTGAAGTTCACGATTTTCCTGACAAAAGTGCTCATTTTGCATCTCCAGGTCTTGACCCTTTTCTTGCACTCCTTAACCTCTTCTGTGTTGAATTGAATCGCCTTCGATAAGCTTGCAATTATGACAGTACTTTGTTTCACTTGCTCACTCAAATCCAGTAGTTTCTCATCCGCTCTCCGTTCCAAATTTAGAATTGCTTC